ATATATATATATATATATACTCCAGGCCCAAGGCCGCTTCCTTAACCACCATTCACCACTCTGTCTTTGACCTTTCACTTCCATTCAGTAAGGAAACCTTCAAAATAATTTTGTAAAATAATGTTTGTCATTCTTCTTAATATGGCATAATAACAAGATGTTGTCTTACGTCCTACTTTTGTGTACTAGACAGTCACCCACACATGGGGTCCACCCTTGATGATGATCTGGAACTGATTCTCCACTCTTAATGATGATGACTCAGCCTTTCTCAAAAACATTTTTGAGGGGGGTTTCATCAGAAACTGCACTTTGTGGGTTGTTGTTCTTTTTTTTCTCCAGTACTTTCCTGTGACCATAATGTCTGTTTATCTGCATCATCTGCCTGATGAACTCCTAGAAAAGGCTGTTAATAGCTTCTTGTCACACTGTACATACATCCCTGATGTACAAGTTGTCATCTGCAAAGAGGATGAGCCTGAAGTCATATCGTGACATCATTTTGATTGAGTTTGGAATCACAAGACTGTTGGAATTTGTCATTTGTAGTAGAACCAGTACAAGGAGGTTTTTGTGACAGACAGGATGACAGTGTGGAGAGTAGGGATGGTCTAATTGAGTAGAAGCTTTGTCTTTGCCTTCACTTTGTTCTCCTGAGGTCAGAAGTGTGAAAGAAATGTTGTTGATGAAAATTGTCCTTGGTGACGCTGGAGATCCTCCTGATAATCCAGTTATTGAATTGTTGGTGAACATCTGTAGTAGCTGATGACAGTTTTGGCAAATATTATCCATCTTCTGCTGAGTGTCACAAATCGAAGTCCATGGTTTGTACCAACAAATTTGGTTTTGTTCAGAACTTGCTGTTACACAATAACAAAAAAACACCAACACAATTTCTTTGTTTATGGTTAAAGTTAGGGTTTAAGACATGGATAGAGTGATTGGGATTCGGGTTTGGAATAGCGATTTGGAGCAACCTGGTGTACTGTCATCCATCAGATTGTCATCATAGATACAACATAAAATTGTGTTTGCATTGTATTATATGATCTTTTAGATCATATCGTCTTCTCGGTAGCATTACCATAATGGAGACTTTATGCAGATGCAGGGATGTGGATGGTGTTGGGATGGTGACAAATCTGCTCCATCACTTGAGAAACAAGACGGATTGGCAGAAGAGTGTATTTGGCACTGTTTGACAATAACGATGGATGCAGCGGAGGAGGCACAAGGGTGCACTTTCACCAGAGTAGATGGCTGAAGTGCCCTTATCACAGAATAGAACAAAATTTGCTCTCTACCTCCATAGCCTCGGGATTCTCTTAAGTGCTACTCATGGTTGGAAATGTGTAGGAAAGATTTTTATTTTTCCCCCTGCTAGCTCCGTGTGCTTATATGCATAAATTTGACCATGTGTTCAAATCCATGTCCCTAAAATATTAGTGGAAGGAGTGTTTGAACAATTCCAGTCGGGGCCATTTTAACAGAAATGACTATCTGCATCTCTGAAAGATTACAGTGCTTTTTTAAAATAGATTGAAATAACGGTGAAGAAACTTTCACAGTGTGAATAGAAGAGTAATTGCTGAAGTGCAAGTGGTATTTATTATGTCTGAAGCTACTCAGCGCCACCTCCGAGACTGCTCTGGTTTTCCTCAGCTAATTTCTTTGAAACCGATCAGATTTGTTTTAAACTAAGACTGTGAAACAATTAATTATTTTTCAGGTGATTTGGTGAAATTAAAACTTTACACCACAGTAATTTTGGCGGCCCTAATAAAAACACACATACAAATTAATATCCAAGAAAAGAGAGATATTGTTCAAGATTTGTATTGATGATGTTACAAAGGCAAGGATCATCCTTTAAGACATGTCTACACGTTATTTTATAACTACATAAAGTTCAGGTTACATGTGCTTAGTTGACCATCATAACTACAGTAGGATTTGGATTCTAGCTCATATTTTCTACATCATGCAACGAGACATGCTAGCCAAGATTAAAAAAAGAAAACTCTTCCAAATCCATCATTCTTTTTACCATTAAAATGTGTGAAATATTTTAGAAAGGCAAACCATAATTTTGACTTCAGAGGTGAGAGGATAAAGAGTAACCTTTAACATCCAATGTTGCTCACAATGCTGTGTGTGTGTGTGTGTGTGTGATAATGTTTCACACGACGGTCAGAAGCCGTTCGTTCCTGACGTCGAGTATTAAATGAAAGCCCTTGATGCTTCGGTTTGGTTCAATTGTTTCACTTTACAGTAAACATTTTTTGAGTCATTTGAGGTTTCAAAGCTCTGCTGGTGAAAATCACAGTGGGATCAATACACTTCAGGATGTGAATTTTATGGTAATGTGTTTTGAACAAAACAAGTGGGTTTGACTCCGTGACACTACATTAGCAATTACCAGCACGGAGGAAGCACCGTGTCAATAGGCAGAGCTATCACCGAAAAGAGGTGGAAACGGCTTCTGCTAAAGACTTAGGAGGAAGTGTAACCTCAGTAGGTGTAATCCAGTAATATGAACGCATGCGTTACGTCTCTAAATACACATCAGAAAGATGTAGTTTGTGGTTGATTTTTCCTGTTGACCTCTGACTTTATCTCTGATAAGATTTTCTGATGATGATAATTATTAATGAGATGAGCAGGCTTTAAATTTGAAAGTCCCAACAATTCAAACCTTGACAGACATCCAGTCAGGGCAGGGGTGAATGGTGAGAAGTGTCAGATGTGGGCGGAGATAGTGTGGACTGGATTTAATGCTGTGACACAGAGTTCTGTGTTCTACCAACGACTCCTCGTGCCACTTTCATAAATGTCCTGACGTCACCTGTGTCTCCGGTCAGAGGATGCTGACTCTCTCGGTGAGACCTTGCACATCTGCATCCTCTCCGCCTTCATCGTCAGAACCCGGAGCAGGAGGAGGGGGCACGAGGTGAGCGGGGTATGGCAGAGTGTGTTCCTGGGCAAACATTTGCCAGCGGCTGTCATCGCTCTCGTGGGTGATGTAACGTCCGCCCAGTTTAGTCTCCAGTTCCCGGAGATCCAGCCAGGTCTGATAATCCTGGAAAATAAAATCCAAAAATAAACACCGGGTTGAAATTTCAGATTCAGTTTTAGAAGCTCTGACATTAGCTTTGGCTCAGAGCAACGTCCATTTGTGTGTGCGGGTGTGTGTGTACTGGTCAGAGGGTCACAGCAGCTGCATTTGAAGCTGATGTAAATGTAGACTACTCCATAATCGAGTCTCCTGATTTCATCTTATTTACAGAACAAGCCACTGTGTTTGGGGAAATGGATTCACAGCTGCACCAGAGCGCTCTACCTCTGATGACTCTGACTTTGTTTTGTTGTCTTCAGAGATAATTCACACAAGATAAAGTCGCTGTAAGTAAAGCTGTCCTCACAGTCCTCTGGTCGTGACTCAAAAAATTCAAGCAGTGATAATTCTGTTCGGGTGTTTTCAGGGCAGAGCTTTCACAAGAGAGCAATTTAGGTTTGGGGCAAATGCTCAAAATGCAACTGCATTTCTGCAAGGACACTTAGAATATTTATTTACAAGGTATTTTTTTCATTTATGTCAGGACGAACATTTTAATCTAGAAATGTATAAAATTTACATTTTATAGATTTTTTTTTAACTCCATGCGTCCATTGCTAATTTAATTCAAATACTATACAGTATGTCATCCGATATTCTGGAGTGGCTTTTCACTACAACCAACTGTGCACCAGTCAGACAGTGTTGTGTGTTTTCCTACTAGGGTTCAGGGTCAGCCTTAGCTCTGAATATGCTAATGCATCTTGTCAGTTTAAAGACGGTGGACGGATCTCATGTTTACGTCTCCCCAAGTAATCAAAATACACTGTTGTTGTAAAAGCTCTGCTCACTTTCTTTTCAGCTGACTTGAGTTAACTATGCAGAAAGTTTCATGTTCCATCCATCATCAACCGCTTATCCGGGGCCGGGTTGCGGGGGCAACAGTCTGAGCAGGGACACCAAGACTTGCCTTTCCCTCAACACTTCCTCCAGCTCTTCTGGGGGACCCCAAGGGGGACCCCAAGGCGTTCCCAGGCCAGCCGAGCGACATAGTCGCTCCAGCGTGTCCTAGGTCTTCCCCTAGGTCTCCTCCCAGAGGGACGGCACCCGAGCACCTCCCGAGGGAGGCTTCCGGAGCTGGTCCA